AACATATATAATACAGTGCACTAGGGACTCAATTGAACATTATTTCAGCAAGTTACATGAAAGCCAAGCATTAATTATCACAGACAACAGAAGATGAAGGGATTAGGAAAGTTATCAGTAAATGTAACAAGCATTCTGTCTCAATGTCTGGAACTCTGTGTATAATAAACTGCATCAGGCACTGTGTGATTACACCCCCTCCCACCCCATGTATTAAGAAAATAAACCACTAAGCAATCAGAGTGCACACAATGAGCAGAAAGTACAGTAAGCTAGACCCATAAGCTTGCACTCAGTGCACTCCTTACCAGTATAGCCTCGGCTTGTTTGGGGTCCAGTTCAGACACTGCCCTCCTGAAGCTCTTCCCAGCAGATCCAGATGTTTTGGGGGTCGGCATCACTAGTCTTTCAGCAGTGAGTTATGAGTCCCTGCTCCTGTCTGTGCCTTTTATAAGGCAGTCTGACGTCATTACTCCCCCCCACTACCATCACTACTCACTCAGCCTGAGGGAGGAGGCTGGTCATTGGGAATCTTCAGCACATCTGCCTGAGACCCCATGCACCTGCAGAGTATCTCACTGCCCCCAGGAGGACAGACCACTGAAAACAACTCTCCCTTTAAAATAAATACCATTTTCCCTCAAGCAAACTTTAACTGTATCTCTCTGTCAATCACACCTGCTCTGGATTGAGAAAATCCCTTATTTCTGGTTGATTTCCAGTAGATTAGGAGCAATATCTGCACTCTATGTTAAAAGGGTTATTCTCAGTGCAAAGTGCTCAATATTAAGAGACATTGCCTCCAATGCATCACTTTGCCCCAGAATAGCTCCAGTTTTGCCCCTTGAGAAATATCTCCCAGACAATCCACTAAGGGGTGATTTCCCAGGCCCCCATAGCTTGGCATGGTACAGTTTGTATATTATAGTATATAATGATATAATAGTATATTAGGTATACACAGAGGGACACACAGATCACTGGGAAGATGTGTAGCACTGTTAACATTCTAGAACCCTGTGTAATAAAGTGACTGTCCTTAGTCTCTACATTAGTGTTTTGGGTGTTAGTTCTGTGCTGATAGAGGTGTCTGAGAATTAACTTCATTATCTTCTAATAAGATTAAATAAGAACAGCCCACAGCCAGCTGAGCATGATGGGAGTTAGAACACAATAACAGCTGAAAGGCTGTGTTAGCTTGATGTATGTCTTAATAGAGAAATTAAATCTTGGGAATAGTTTATCAGTTTGTCATTACACGTCCCCTCCTATATGTCTTGTCCATTGTATCTACACAGTATGCATTGTTTTTTAATTGCCATTTTTATACATTTTTATATTATTATTTATATCCATTGTCATGTTATTTCTTATAGTTGCCATTATTATTTATAGCACCATGTTGTGGTTTTTGTTAAATTGTTATTATTTATTAGCAGTACCTGCACCGATATATTGTACAATATTGTGAGCCAAACATAACCTGTCACAAATGAATCTGGGCATCTGCAATATTAGCTTTATTCACCCAAATCCTAAATGTCACTCACTGCAATCTGAATGCCAAAATGTAGGCAAAATAGAATTCACAAAAACAAAATAATAAATAAAAAAAACGTTGTGTCCACTGAATTAAACTGGAAAAAAGAATCCGGACCTGATGAAACTGAAATGTTAAGATTTAGTGACATTCTATCTTTTCAACAAGACTCGAGTTCTATCAGTTTTGAATTCCTCTCGGCTATTTTGACGTTAAAATTGACCGGTAATTTCTGTTATTCTGTGATCGTTCTTTCTTGGTCTCTGTGTCTCTGCGGACAGGCAGCCGGAATCCGAGAAATTATCATTCGAAAAGTGAGAGCAGGAAAACCCAATCCCGTTTATACACAAAGCAATCAAACTGGAAACACGCTAAAATGGGGGAATTTTTCCAATTTGGCCATTTTGACTTTAAATTTCACTTTAGTGAATTTAAAAATAGAAAAATACGTTATTAAATTTAAAAATATTAAAATTATTTAGAAGAAAGATCTGTGAATATTCTCCATCTCTGATAAAGTTACAGATTGGCTTTTAGCCTAAACTTTGCAGTTTGATTTTCAGGTCACGACTATTGAAAACATACCGGGTTATCCACTAACGTTAGAATCCAAAGTGAATTTCAACTTTAAGGCCAGATTAGTCGAACTGAAAGCACAGCTGGCTTACAGAGTGTCTCCATTTCAGCTACTTTTACCTTAAATTTGAAATTCACTTTAGTGAGTACAAACATTAAGACCTGCGCTCAAACTCCCATCACTCCCGGGCAGCAGCAATGACCATAGCAAACATCAGCCCCAATATATGCAGTAAAAACCAAAGACAAAATGTTAACTGTGCTCTTTTTCCAAATCCTTAAGTATATTTAAATAAATTGAGTTTTTTTAGAATTGTAAGCCGACCTGCCACATCAAGGCAGAACTCTCAGGTGGGTCCTACACTGACTATTATTATGAGAGGAAATGCCCACCTGCCACGGCAAGGCAAACCTCTCAGCTGGATCCTACACTGACTATTATCATGAGAGGAAATGCCCACCTGCCACGGCAGGGCAGACCTCTCAGGTGGGTCCTACACTGACTGTTATCATGAGAAGAAATGCCCACCTGCCACGGCAAGGCAGACCTCTCAGGTGGGTCCTACACTGACTGTTATCATGAGAAGAAATGCCCACCTGCCACGGCAAGGCAGACCTCTCAGGTGGGTCCTACACTGACTGTTATCATGAGAGGAAATGCCCACCTGCCACAGCAAGGCAAACTTCTCACGTGGGTCCTACACTGACTATTATCATGAGAGGAAATGCCCACCTGCCACGGCAAGGCAAACCTCTCAGGTGGGTCCTACACTGACTATTATCATGAGAGGGAATGCCCACCTGCCACGTCAAGGCAAACTTCTCACGTGGGTCCTACACTGACTATTATCATGAGAGGGAATGCCCACCTGCCACATCAAGGCAGACCTCTCAGGTGGGTCCTACACTGACTATTATTATGAGAGGGAATGCCCACCTGCCATGTCAAGGCAAACCTCTCAGGTGGGTCCTACACTGACTTATCATGAGAGGGAATGCCTACCTGCCACGTCAAGGCAAACCTCTCAGGTGGGTCCTACACTGACTATTAGCATGAGAGGAAATGCCCACCTGCCACGTCTAGGCAAACCTCTCAGGTGGGTCCTACACTGACTATTATCATGAGAGGGAATACCCACCTGCCACGTCTAGGCAAACCTCTCAGGTGGGTCCTACACTGACTATTATCATGAGAGGGAATGCCCACCTGCCACATCTAGGCAAACCTCTCAGGTGGGTCCTACACTGACTATTATCATGAGAGGAAATGCCCACCTGCCACGTCAAGGCAGACCTCTCAGGTGGGTCCTACACTGACTGTTATCATGAGAGGGAATGCCAACCTGCCACGGCAAGGCAAACCTCTCAGGTGGGTCCTACACTGACTATTACCATGAGAGGAAATGCCCACCGGCCACGTCAAGGCAGACCTCTCAGGTGGGTCCTACTCTGACTATTATCATGAGAGGGAATGCCCACCTGCCACGTCAAGGCAAACCTCTCAGGTGGGTCCTACACTGACTTATCATGAGAGGGAATGCCCACCTGCCACGTCAAGGCAGACCTCTCAGGTGGGTCCTACACTGACTATTATCATGAGAGGAAATGCCGACCTGCCACATCAAGGCAGACCTCTCAGGTGGGTCCTACACTGACTATTATCATGAGAGGGAATGCCCACCTGCCACGTCTAAGCAAACCTCTCAGGTGGGTCCTACACTGACTATTAGCATGAGAAGAAATGCCCACCTGCCACGTCAAGGCAGACCTCTCAGGTGGGTCCTACACTGACTGTTATCATGAGAGGGAATGCCCACCTGCCACGTCAAGGCAGACCTCTCAGGTGGGTCCTACACTGACTATTATCATGAGAGGGAATGCTCACCTGCCACGTCAAGGCAGACCTCTCAGGTGGGTCCTACACTGACTATTATCATGAGAGGGAATGCCCACCTGCCACGTCAAGGCAAACCTCTCAGGTGGGTCCTACACTGACTATTATCATGAGAGGAAATGCCCACTTGCCACGTCAAGGCAGACCTCTCAAGTGGGTCCTACACTGACTATTATCATGAGAGGGAATGCCCACCTGCCACATCAAGGCAAACCTCTCAGGTGGGTCCTACACTGACTATTATCATGAGAGGGAATGCCCACCTGCCACGTCAAGGCAGACCTCTCAGGTGGCTCCTACACTGACTATTATTATGAGAGGGAATGCCCACCTGCCACGTCAAGGCACACCTCTCAGGTGGATCCAACACTATTATCATGAGAGGGAATGCCCACCTGCCACGTCAAGGCAAACCTCTCAGGTGGGTCCTACACTGACTATTATCATGAGAGGGTCCTGGGGGCAGTGGATGAGCCTGCGATACCCACTGACCCCCTCCCAGCAGAAAAGCTGGCACCTGAGCAGAGCGCCGCTGACCTCTGCCCTACCCTTGTACCTTGCCCAGAGCCTGACACCCTGCAGGCTATCCCAGTGGAAGAGCTGGCTCCTGGGCAGAGTACCACTGGCCTCTGCCCCTCAAGTAGCCCCAGCTGTTTGCTTAGCTGCACCAGGGAGACTGACGATGCTAAACTGTCCTGCTACAACCTGGGACCTACAGACCAGTACCGTTTATTGTGGGGGGGCTACTCTGCTGATTTTTCTTTGTGAGTGGGCTGCCCGCCAGAAGGTCAGGTACCTGTTTAGTCTTCCCCCCAAAGGGAAGATGTGTGGCGAAATTAACATCGCCACTTGTACTTGCCAGCCTCTTGCCCCAGGATTATGGGCCCTGCAAAAAGACATGTGACTTCCATGAAAAAACAAACAAACCAGTGAACCGATCTGGGTGATTTTTGGATATGTTGATCACCCAGATCAGGGCTATCCGAGGATGTGACTCTTGTGGGGTTTCCATGGATCTTGGGGGTACTTTTGGGGTGTTTGTAAATTGTGTATTTTTCTGTACCTGAAGATAATCAATTATCTCCCAGACACAGAGGAGGAGTATGTTGAATGTATTGCTTATCTGTGCCTCTCCCCCTCCCCCTTTTTCCTGTCCTATTGTTTCTCCAGCAGGGCGTTGTCCCAGGGACAATGCTAGACCAGTTTAAACTGGCTGCTCTGTCCCTCCTCAATCTCCAATCAGCCCTTGCTATTATCTGACCCCACCCTTCCTTGTACTACAGTAATCTATGTAACCTATTGTATGTAAATGAGGCTGTTGGGGCTTTAAATGTTTGTATAAATTGTTAGTGCGGGCTTGCATTAAACAGAACTACTTGACCCTTTCTTGAAACCTTGGCTCATGCTTGGGGGATGGGATAACTACACTCTTGGGGATTGCTATTTCACAATACTCCCCTGAGTATAAGCTCCTGTAAGAGCTTGTTCCTGGTTCCTGCTCTCTGGATTTAGGAGAGGTTCACCCACTGGAAGCTGGATCCTGGCCTTGGATCCAGGGTGGGTGAGAGACGGCGAGACCCCGGCGCAGCTGCATAGCTGGAAGGGTCTGCAGTGCGGATGGTGTCGGTTGGAGTGCTTGGAGTCCTCGGCTAGCACTAGGAGCATCGATTGGCGGAGGTACTCGGTCGGAGTGCCAGCGGTCCGTCACACTGACTATTCACTTTGCTTCTTTCAGCTTCAGGCAAAATAATCTCTAACGAAACAGAGAGGGGTATTTTCCTAAACCCTGCATATTTATTAACCCTTGATAGGGAACACATAGAATGGGTGGAAGCATTGTTACATAGCTGTGTGATACAAAAGTGAATACAAATATACAAAAGGAAATGTATTTTTACTTCCAGTGTGCCATTTTCCAGCTTTCGATTTTCTTACGCCGCGCTCTTTTCTCCTTGTTCCCTCTCACCCTCCTCCCTGCTGTCTCTTTCAGTAATTAGAGTTTGTCAAACACAGTAATTAGCGCTGCTTTGCGAGTGGCGTTTTGCCGTCATGACTCTTTTCATCCACAAAAAAGACTTTTAATAACATATAATGATAGTGCAAAACTGCAGCAAAACACAACTACCCGGTGCTGTAGATTGTTAGCTCTACAGCCAAGACATGTTATTTGACATTTTTCAGGTAGAATGAGCATAGGGTTCATTGAATAAACTTTGCACTGTAGCAAAATGCGAGCTAATATAACCAGAAGGTGAGTGTAACGGGACTGGAGAATTTTTAAAACCTGCTGTTTCATATTTTGATTTGTGCAATCCGGAGCTTAGCAGGTAGACTCCCATAATTTCTTTTTGTAAGGGAGTGTTGTTATAAATGGTTCTTGCTTATAAACTTTGAATTGCCTCTTTATCAGCTTTAATTAACACATTAGTTTCATCATTTGCACCATAAAGAACTGCTCTAGAAGAATTCTACGAATACCTGTGCACTGCTTTACAAAGAGGTATAGTGATTATAAGTGTAGATAGACAGGCAGACAGTCTGACAGACAGACAAAAAGTGTATTCCTTGTGTGCTTTCCATGCGAAAGAGCTGTGCGTGGGGCAGGAGGGGTCAGTGAAATATGGAAGAAATAATAGAGTACAATCAGAATGACAGTATAATAATGTAGATCAATAACTGCACTTACAGAGAGCGGAAAAGGTTACATTTGGATTTAGTGACAGCTAAAACAAGGAACTGAATGGCATCAATACACCCACGTGGTGCGAATGGCCTCTGTGAATTCCGCAGCGTGCGTTCCGAACTCCATCTTATGGCATAACTTTTACTTTTAGAGTTAATCACTACAGTGTGAACTAATCGTGAATAATAGTGAATATAAAGTGAATTTACATTTTAATCCAAATTGCCAAACTGGGAAAAGCTGTCCTGATGATATATTCCTGTTCGGGTACATTTGATAAAATGTAAAATTCACTCTGAATCCCTGACGAATCACAGGGAACAATGTCAGGGCTTATTCACTAAAGTGAGACTTCAAATTGAATTTCTAATTGTGGACCAAAATAGGCAAACTGAAGAATAGATTTTCAATTCTTATACGGTATTTCAGAATTCACGTTGAATTATCAGTTCAGTGACGGACCCTGTGAGTGTGATCTGGGTTATTTATGTCTATGTACCTTTATGAGCCAACAGTGGAAGCTCTGATAGCAAACCTTATCAAATAACCAACAAAAATATTTTATCTTATTAACCATGGTAACCTGGAACTTTACTCTAAGTCAACAATAACCAAATGCATTTAAAGGCAAAACACAGCCCAGCATGGGAAAAGCCTGAAGAAGGTCTGGTTTTTCCAAAATTCCTTTTTTTTTATATAAAACTGCAATCAACGGGTCACTATTTGCCATAGCTAATGATAAGCAAGTAATTTGAGTTCCTTTCTCATTAATTATTATTATTATTATTATTATCATTTATATAGCACCAACGTATTCTGTAGAGCATTGCTGTTTTATATGAGGCTATAACCGGAAATAAGAGACAAATTGTTACATTGTTAACAGGAAGAAGTAGACTCTGCTCGACTGAGTTTACAATCTAGCCAGCAGCACAAATAAAAGAACAGACATTATAAAGAGATATGTAATTATATTTATCAACCAGAAAGAACTGCGGGTCATGAGAAAGAAAATTGCGTTACGGAGAGAGAGCAGACAAGCAAAGAAATGTGAAGAGCTGAGGGAAGGGTGAGCGAAAGTAGTTTGGAAGAATATGAAAGCATCGAGAGCAGGAATATGAAGCTGACATTTGTGTGTCCAGAGCTCCCGCATCTCTGATATTTACTCAGGATTATCAGATACTTCAACATTCTCGCTTTCTTCACTGCAGGGTTTACCATTTAACTCCTCATTGACCTCTGTTTGCAACCACTGCTTTGCTTAATGGCGTTAAATTCAACACTGTGTTCATTTTACTGCGTAACTGGATCAACGGAAGACACGCATACACTCCGAGGGTTCGTCTAGAGCTCTGAAGCACCTGTAGACATAACTGGACATGCATTCTAATCACCCCACATCTGTTGGCACCCACCAGAATTTGGGAATCTGTCCGTTTTGGGTTTCTAGTGTCCCACCCTGGGGCACCAAGTCTCCATAAAACAGAGGTATTTACCCAGGCACATTGCAATCCAGGGACAGAAATTCACCTCTCTGACCCCTCTTTAGGTCTCTGGTAGTACCTTAGCATGAGACTATCATGACTATCTCTTTGTACATGTGGCCACTAATGCAAAAATGCATTTTGTACCTTATGTTTAATCAGTATATTTATTGGATGCACACCCTAATGCAATGCGCTGTGCATGTATATCCCTGCTTATTATGCTACATGTATAACTACAAAAAGTGCTTCTCTGATTTTAAATCAGACTACATAAATCTTAAGAGGAAAAATAGTTGTGCATCCCAAGCATGTCTTTATAGAGTGTAAAAACACGCTAAGCAGGTAGACCCATGGTCTGAGATGATGTTTATAGATTGCGGCATTGGAGTGCCTCAAGGCTGTGCCTTCATACGGCAGCCTAGCAATTACTCAGACAGTGTATACTCCTCTTCATTTTGGAGCAAATGGACACATTACCATGCACAAGGGACACGGCGTGCTTATAGTGGCTGCTAATCAGCACCGCAGTTATCTCAGCACCCCTGGAGACAATACCCTTCTAATCTTACGTGTTAGCTGTGGGGGCTGTACAGGAATCCACGCTAATATTCACCATTAGTTAAGATTTACTAAAAAGGCACTGGCCTTTGGGTCATATTCACTAAAGGTCTTTCAGGATTAGATACAAGCAGAACTTATTACATTTGCTTTGTTATTAGAAATAGTCTATTTAAAATAAACTGTCTATACCGAGTGCTGGTTTAGTTTGTTCAGCAGTTTTTATTAATGAAATGCATGTCATCCAATTTGCTAACTTTGGGCGTCATCCGAGAGTTTAAAGAATGGTTTCCTATGTAGTGGAAGGCTCTGCTCTGATTGGCAGCTGGCATCACATGACAATTGTGAGACCATTTGAAGATGGCCGCTTCCACATGATACCCCACTAGATGCTCAGTTATCCCAGCTAGATTTACCATAGCGAGCTTAGATCGAAATGAACTGTTTGCATTATTTTTTTACGTTGATTTATGTAAATATGTTTTAAGTGACAGTGCTACTCTAATCATCAGGACACTATAATACATCTCAATTTGTGCTCAGATGACGTGTATATACACAATGTCTGTATCTCTTCACTTCAGACATTCAGAGCAAACATGGCTTGCTGTCTGTGATAACTGATAAGAGTGAGCTTTAGCAGTGACGCAACTTCAGTTAAAACTCATTAAAATCCTACAAATTCACAGGTACCCCATTATTACAACACTCGCAATGAGATAAAACCTCATTAATCTAACCCCTCGGCTATTACCGCTTTCACGGGTACCCCATCGTTATACCACTTATATTGAGATAACACCCCATTGATGTAACCCCAGTCAGATATCACTCTATTCTAAGACAACCAATCTTTATAACACCCTGATTAATGTCACTTAACTCCAGTCAGAGATCACAACATTTATGGACACCCTATGAGTGAAGCAAGTTGAAGATTCCACCTTGTAAATCTAGCCCCAGTTAAAATAACACCTTATCAGTCTAAACTCGGACAGATATCAATAAATCTTCTGCATTATATGAGCAGCCAAAAATGGGCTAGGCTTTGGAGTTTCAGGGAGACAGAGCCATCCATGGCTATTGTAGGAATGAGAGCTGAGTGTCTCTCATTGTTTAATTACTAGGAGTCGGGCAGTGGCTGCCCAACACCAAAACAAGCAGTGTGTGTTATTAGTAACACCATCACACATAGTAACACCGCCTGCCTGCTTGATGGTTCCGAGGGGAAGCAGGAAGGATTGGAGTGCAGGCGGGGCAGCACAGCTCTCCTGCTCTCCTAACACTTGACACCAAGTACAGATCTTTCAACCTACCTCTCTGAGTAAAGTAGTCAGAAGGAGGCAGGAGTGAAATTATTACTTGTGCGTGTGTGTGCTGATGTTTATATTGGTGTCTGATATTGAGTGTTTGAAATGGGTGTGTGTGTGCCTGCATGTGTGTTAGCATGCGTTTGTCATAGTAAAGTGATATGTCATTTGGTATATCTAAGCAAAACCTACATTCAAAGAAGAATTAAGATTCCACAGGGCCTTCGGCAGGTTACATGGTTCTGGGCCCCAGCTGCCACTGTCACTGTATGGATCTTTCTGCTCTGAATACATCTAGGAGGTACAGCCAGTACTCCAGTAAAGGCATTTTGGTTAGATACAAATTTCTCCTCTAATCAGACCCTGACATATCTGAATAACATTATATTTTATATGAGATAATGCAGATGTGTTAATATCTGTGTATCTTTAGGAGTGTG